GTTTCATATATTGAATTTTAGATAAGATACCTCAGGATAGTGTACCCATTCATCCTTTATATAGATGATACAATGTCTCAATAAACTTCTTGGAAACTGTCAAGGCGACATAGCTCAGGCATTTACCGCTAATGGTTTATTATCGAAACCTTGAACGACACGGTTGGGATTGCGTTTTTATACATGGAGAGACAAACATGTACAACAGAATGTGATATATATTTTTCAAGAATATAGTATGCACAAAAATCATTTTATTTTTCAGGTTTGGACCTCTATTTTTATTCCATATTTATTAAGTTAGTGAACATTTTTGGATGTAGCTAATGCTGCGTTGATACTCAAATAAATAATAGTTTAAAAAAATACGCCTTTATAGTTAACCGAACTTTCTACTCTGAATTGAGTTCTGTTAATAACTTTTTTATTATAGTTTTGTTTTGAGATCATTAATTAAGATTGATTATTCGACCATCTACTACTGTAATATATAAACTCTTTGTTATTAAAAATCATTTTCTACTTTTTAGTTCGGTTAGCTATAAAAGGGTGTTTTTTTTTTTTAGTTTTTCAAACTATAAGGTAATCATTATGAATATGAAAACAAGGATATGCTTATACTTCTACCTTTTTCTCCGAAGCGAGACCTTATGCTTCCGAGGATATGCTTTTCTTTTATGAATACGGCTCATTTACTCATCAATATAAGAAAGTATACACAGATATCATTGACATCATAATTAACAAGAACTCATAAGAAAAGTAAATACCGGGAATATACAAGAATAATAAGATGTTGATTGATGTTCACGAGGGTGATATCATAATTTGCATAAGCAGAAGTTGGTTCTTTCCCCAAAGGCATTCAAAATAGTTCCAAACCCCATTAATATCATCAGACGAACGTCACTGACTTAATCAGGCCTTCCATACGCACCCCCTCCCTAGTTTGAATACAGAGTCATAGCCCGGAGCTTTTCCCTAAGCCCTGTCGTATGTTGCAGCGGCCGCTACGCGAAAGTTGTTCCTTCAGAGTTCTCTGGAACGCTAATCTTGCCAGTTTCGGTTCATTTAGTGATCAGGGTTTCCCTGGCAGGGGTGGGCGCACACGAGAAGGGCTTCCTTTGCATTTCCTGCTCGTGGTTCGCGCTGCTACAAAGAAAATTTTATCACTGGACGTCGTCCAGAATCAGGGGCGCGCTCTTACAATCTTCCGGGAAGGTATTTGTGACAAAAATTGATAATTTCGCATTTTACTTCCCATGCCAGTTGGCGAGGAAGTATTGTAATCGAAAATGAGATGTTTTGAAATGGTCATGATTGCTTTCCGTCTCTGTAACCACGACCAACCGTAGACAGCGCTGTTTCGTGCCCATTAAAAACTCATCCGAGCAGTATAAGTCTAGTAGTCATGGAGAAAGAAGAACGGAAAGGAAACCGGTGGTTATAGTATTTTGAAAAACCCAAAATACTTTGCGGAAGCAGGTGAGAAATCTAACAACCTCCACCTACCAATGGGTCGCCAATGATAATGACGTTCTGAGCAATGCACAGATAGATATCTTAATAGTCTTCTATCTGTGTATGCATAAACTGTTGAAATGGACATATCTGCCTTCCGTCTCTGTAACCAAGACCAACAGCGCTATTTCGTGATCATTCGCGACTCATAAGGGCGATATAGGTCTATGAGTCCTACTAGACCTATACTAATAGGCACGAAACAACGCTGTGTGCGGTTGGACATGGTTACAGAGACGGATAGCAGACATTTCAACCGTGTCTGTGCATGTATGCATATAACGACATTGTTGATATAGTCTAATTATATTAGACGAAAATACCCTTTGCTTGAAAAATAATTGTAGTCTGGTTTTATTGTGTAAGTTGTGCAAGGGGGTATTCAAAACATGGACGCATAAAATGGGTACACCGATTATGCCTCGTTTTTCGGCCATCATATTTTTGCTATTAGTCGGATATTTTTACGTGTGATCTCATTTTATAGGTCTCACAGATACCTAAAAATCTTATGAGAAAAGTTTTTTGCTCCTGTCAACACTTTCGATTGAATCCTATAAAACACGTTCTTTCATTCTTTGTTGTCAAATAAAAGTTTTCCCACTAAATTTGGTGTACCCATTTTTTTGTGCATTGTGCAGAATGTTCCGTCATATTTCATCGTATGGGATGAGGATGAAGATCAGCTGGGCAAACTAGCTCGGTGGAGATTGACAGATTTCTCAACCACTTCCGCAGATGAGATGTTATCTTTTTTGAATGTACATCACAAAAAACCAGGTCACTCAGTAACGTCGGTCTGTCCGCTAATCCTTGACCCCTCCACAATTCGGATTTTGACGAAATTTTCACACGAAGTTCTTACTATGCCAAGGAATAAAACGCATTATAGGTTTTGAAAATCAATTCAGTGACGGCGGAACTACGGACAAAACAGCAAAAAATCGCTTACACTTTAAATAAATCATTATGGAACAATCTGCCAACTTACTGGCAGAGTCCTTTAGTGATGACTTCGTCGATGAGCCTAATGGAGACCTTCTACCAACCACTATCTGCCATAGGTGTCCCAATAGCCTTTGCGAAGTTGAGTTCCTGCCTGAAGATGTATTAATGCACCTGCAAAATCTGAAGACCTCTTCCTCCCCTGGTAAAGATGGGATGACGGCTGCTGTACTTAAAAACTGCGCTTCAGCACTGGCCCTACCATTAAGCTTGATATTCACATCGTCTTTTAGATCTCTAACCTTACCCTCATGCTGGCTTAGTGCTTCTGTTACCCCTGTATTCAAAAAGGGCGACAAATCCTCCGCTAAAAATTATCGACCAATAAGTCTCGTTCCTATCGCCGCCAAAATAGCTGAAAGAATCATATTAGATAAGCTCCTGTAATTTGCTTTCGAAAATGACCTTATCCCTAAGAATCAGCATGAATTTCTCCCTGGTCGATCAATAATGACCAACCTTCTCCACTCTCTCAACGATTGGACTCAGTATCTGGACACAAAGACTCCTGTTGATATAATCTACATAGATTTTTCTAGGGCTTTCGATCGCGTACCACATAGAAGGCTTCTGTTTAAGTTGGAATGTATGGGAATAAGAGGCGAGTTGTTACTGTGGATTAAGGATTTTCTCACCGGGAGGACTTTCTCTGTGCGCGCCAGTGATAGCCATTCTCACCTTCATCATGTAGCAAGTGGAGTTCCTCAAGGCTCTGTCTTGGGGCCAGTGCTGTTCCTTCTGTATACAAGTGACCTGCCCGCATTGATTTCCTCCACATGTTCAGCTTATGCCGACGACACCAAGATTTACAATACTGTCGTAAATTCTGCTATGCTTCAACGAGATCTTGATATTGTTTGTCAATGGTCAGTCAGTTGGCTTTTACCCTTAAATCTCACTAAGTGTTGTATCCTTCATCTCGGGAAGACAAATCCGCGATTTACATACAAGATCTCTGACCACAACATCGAAGCAGTTTCCAGCCACACTGATCTGGGCGTTGTAGTCAACGATCGTCTTTCCTGGTCAGAGCATATTCACCACGTTACATCAAAAGCCAAGAAACTTCTATACATGCTGGAGAGGTCTTTCAAAGGATCCGATGTCAACACTTGCGCCTACATTTACAAGGCATTCGTGAGGCCAATTCTTGAATTCGCTGGCCCGGTATGGGACACTGTGCTTCTGCGCGATAGAAATCTCGTCGAATCAGTACAGCGTCGGGCTACTCGTATCCCTTTTGGAGCACGAGGACCAAGCTATGAAGATCGCCTTGAATTATTCAACATGACCTCATTCTCTGAGCGAAGACTTCGTGGCGATCTTATAGTTACGTTCAGGATACTTCATGGTTTGATGGGCACCAACCTCATGCATCTATACTGTCTGTCGCGCAGCAATTCACGCGGACACAGCTTCAAACTGCTTAAGGAGCCATTTAAAACAACAGTCCGACAGTGGTTTCTTCCCAACCGCATATTCAACACCTGGAATAGTTTACCTGAAAGTGTGGCTGGTGCTACTTCAGTTAATAGCTTCAAAGTGCAGTATGATAGCTGGAGGAGTGTACAAACTTTATAGCTATGAACTGTCTTTTTTTATTTTTTTCTATTAGATGTATTTATGTTACGTGTCCGTACACTATATTTACTGCATGAGCTTATAGTACTGTGTACTCTGCTCATCTCAATTATCATAATAATAATAATTATAATAATCTGCCCGAGGATGTTTTGCCCATTTCTACTAACTACTATCGAATCAATCAAATATTTTTCACATCTTTTTAGCTGTAGCCTGGGCAGCAAGGTGAAGAAGGGTGGCTCTTTATTCGTGATACTGCGTGATGTGAAATTGCGGATCACCAAGAGTTTGGTGGTCATAAACTCGCACTCCACCAAACCTACCGTGCTATAAATTCTCCATATATACTAGAAAATATACATGTATGCGCATAATTATCCAAAAATAAATCTCTACAAATAGCCATTATCAATTTTAGCTCGATATACACCACCCCGATTTATACGCCGAAGCTAGAGCCGCATTTTCTGGAACACCGACGCCAAGCCTTCATTTTTCACAGTTAATTGTAGGTTAGGAAAATAAACCTGAGCCGATTCGCGAAAATATACCTTACAATGACAATAAATCATTCTGGTGTGTATCATTTGCTTGCATTAAGCGAAGGCTTGTATTAACATAACTGGAAACTAATTGCCTGATGCGCCCAATGGCAATACCTGTAAATATTTCTAGGGGATGAAATATTATCTTATTATATTATGGGATCGAACAGGTTTCAAAGATGGAGGTAAACGGAATTGTTACGTGTTTCAGATTATTCGTAACGGACCTTAGATGTAATAGTTGGTAGCGGTAGCGACCAGAGTCATTGTTATTTTCAGTGAAAAAGTTATTTCAGGCAGATGAAATCATAATTATAATTTACTAATGAAAACCTTTATTTTTTGTTACGGCTGAAATTCTTTGGGGCATAGTGTTAATCAAGTTTTGGCAAAAATTTGGTGTAAAACAATCCCATATTTCTTGAAGCTTTTGTCTCAGTTCGGTGATTGTACGAGCAGGATGTTTTCGTAGAACCTTTTTCATCTCGTGCCACAAAGTTTCAATAGGTGACAGATCTGGACTGCTAGAAACCCATTCCAAAAGTGGTACATTATTTTCTTCCATCCATTTTATAGCCTTTTTTGAGGTACGGCACGCTGCACCATCTTGCTGAAACACAAAATCTTGGCCGGATGTCAAACATTCTTCCATCACTGGTATAAGAGAATCTTCTAAAATTTCCAAATATTTGTTTGTATCCACATTTCCATCAATAAAATGAAGTTTTCCTACTCCTTTTGGTGACATACTACCCCAGACCATAATGGATGCTGGACATTTCACTTTTCTCTTCAGACAGTCAACATGGAATGCTTCATTTTTTTTGCGAATAACTCTACTGCGACTGTCACCAACACAAACTTCGAATCGGGCCTCATCACTCCATTGTATTGCACACCATTGTCTATGTTCTTTAGCCCATCTAAGCCGTGCAGTGGAGTTAATAGTGGCTTTTCTTTGGCCTATAAACAAGTTGTGCAACTTTAGGGTTTTTACTTCACTTTTTTTTTATAAGAAAACTTACCTTGTAAGTACTAAATCCCAGTTTGTGGGCCTCTCTATGAGTTGTGGACCTCGAAATTCTCCTTCCAACAGCCTCACTCCACACAGCAATTAATTGTAAATAATTGGCACGCCAGTTTTTGACGATTATTCTTCTTAATGCTCTTCGGTCGGCATTTGTGATATTACTTTTTTTCACATATCGTGGCTTAATATTAACTGAACCAGTTACGTTATATTTTCTAACAATATGTCTCACACTGTACCGCGATAAGTCTAACAAAGTTGCAATTTCTGAGTTTGATTTCCCAGAATTAAAAAAATTAATTATCAGTAAACGAATTTTCTCACTAATAACCTTTCATCTACCCATTTTGAAAACCTTAACTACCCAAAACTATACTAAGTGACATATAAATCCGAACACCCAGTTTAAATGGTTTTATTTTAATAAAATTTTGTATAAGTACTTAATGAAGCATAATAAGTAAATGATAAAAATTTCAAAATGATTGCACTGCTTTAAAGCCCTTTGACCTTTAATAATGTTTGGATGCACCCTGATGTGCTACGCATTCTCCAACGCGCCTAGGCATGCTTCTGATCAGGTGGCCAATGTCCTCTTGTGGTATCTCATTCCAGGCAACCACCAACTCCTCTCGAAGTGCTTCTAGAGTCTGAGGAGGACGTTGCAAATTGAGCAATCTCCTACCCATCATATCCCACACGTGCTCAATTGGGGATAAGTCTGGATATCTTGGTGGCCATGGTAACAATGTGACATCATTATGTTGAAAGAAGTCTATTGTGACTCTTGCAACATGTGGTCGGGCATTATCTTGTTGGAAAGTTGGATCTGCCAGGGTATCAAGATAGGGTAAAAGATGGGGTTCTAGAACTTCGTGGATATAACGCTGCGCGTTCATGTTACCTCTGATGAAGATTAAAGGTGACCTGGAACCATAAGCTATAGCACCCCAAACCATAACACCAACAGTGTGATGAACATGTCTTTCAACAAAAAACTGTGGATTCCTCCTTTCACCACGTCGCCTTCTAACCCTGGCACGACCATCGTGCATGCCTAAACAAAATCGAGACTCGTCACTAAAGACAATACTGTTCCATTCCTGATCCCAGAGTGACCGTTGTCTGCACCACTCAAGGCGATTACGTCGGTGTTCTCGAGTTAAAGGGAGGACCCAGTGTGGCCGGTATGAAAACAAGCCAAAACTTCTCATTCGTCGGTAAACACTTCGCATGCCAATAGGTCTTTCGTGTTCTGCAAACCATTCATTTGCAATGGACCTGGTAGTGGAGAAACGGTCCCTTAAGGCCAATAATCTTAGGCGGCGATCTTCACGGTCTGTTGTTCTACGGCGGCGTCCAGTGCCCCTTGCTCTTTGCGTACGGCCTTCTCGAAGCCATGCCTGACAACACCTAACCACAGTGTCTAAACTTCTTTGCACTCTAACTGCAATTGCCCGAAAAGAAAGTCCAGCTTCCCGAAGTCCCACTATACGGCCCCTATCAAACTCACTAACTTGACGAAATCGTACAGGTCTCCGTACTCTAGGCATCGTAACCGATCTTAAAGGATGTCAAGAACCAAAATTCGCCAACGTTGATTCTTTACTGCGGCTGAAATATTCATTTTTAGAGCGTTAGTGAATTAAAAAAAAGCAGTATAAAAATCGGAAGGCTGAAAATTTTTTCACTTGTTATTTACAGTAAGATAAATACATTCACCAACTTTTATTAAAATAAAACCATTTAAACTGGGTGTTCGGATGTATAATATGTCACTTAGTATATTTTAAACGTATTCTGACAGCTGTGATTAATAAAAACAATTGTCATGGCTTTTATTTTTCACAGCCACCTATGCGTTATAGACTTATTTTGCATTGAAATGAAAATAGGTTGATATGCTGTAATTGCAACATGTGTTATTTTTATGCTGCAAATTTGATTAGGGAGTGATAAAGTTGGTGTTTTCTACTATATGTTATCAAAATATTCATTGTTAATATTTTAAACCTATAACACCCTGCTACATTTTTATTATTTGTGTTTGATAAGAAAAAAACTAAGATTTCAATAGTTGGGCCAACTGAAGTGGGAAGGGGCTCGTATGTACGCACATCCCTTAATCCGCTCTCGCTATATGGATTTTTGTGTACAACAGGTACAGACTGGTAGATCATTATCAATTATCGCATCACCAGACAGCAATAAGCAAACCAAAGCCCGTCTGTATGTATGTAATCAAAATGTCAAGTTCAGGAATGAATCAGAAAAGTATTCAGGATCTTATAAACCAGAATGGCAAAAGAAGCTTCAGTGATGGCAAAGGAGTTTGACGAGCGACCAGTATGTTCATTGTACAAGTTGTAATAAAGAATGTTTTCCAGCAACAGATGTTCTCAAAAAATATGTGCTGTGTATGTGCGCGCAATACAATGATGTCCTTTTTTTTATAGAGGGTGCTGTGTGACGTAGTCCTTTAATCCATCGCTGATCTTGTGACGGTCCTGATTTTTTCCGATTTTGTCCTTGAATCTTAAGAATTTTAACGACTATGTCTACTGATTTCGTCTTTTTTGGCTCGGCAATACTGATTTGAAGGTAGATTCTCAATATATTTTTGTTTGCACCCTTTAGAAAAAAATCCTGGAAGCATAGGATAGTTATTAAATGAGTGGTGTTACCGAGACTAAAGGGGCCGACAGTAGCTGTCGCTTAATACGTGCCACAAGCTTATCTACTGGTAATTGATTATTGCTTAAACCAGCCCCAGCGATACAATGTCTTACCTATGTTGATCTTACACCGGCCTGGTGTTTGACATAGACAACACAACATCCATGGCTCAGAATTAACTTCTTAGGCGGATTGGCGGATCAACGTGGATCTTGAAAATCACTTGTGTTCAATATATCTATTCCATGTTACCCTTATTTCTTCCCATTGCAGATGCCAATGGCTGAGACGGGTTACCGACAAAAATTTTAACGTGCCCGTGTTACGAAATAGCATACCACTGCATCGTGAAAATGCCGATGCCATGCCACGGTGTGCATTCATCATTTGTCGACGCAGGTAGTGAATTTATCGTTTTCACTGTCTGTGGCATCTTTTCTTCTATTTTTAGTTTATGATGCCTTGCTTCCACTTCCATCTTTCTGCAATCGATAGCGTCTACGGCGTGTAAATGGCGACCTCTCGGATGCATTTAGAACACAACAAAATAATCCAATTAATTCCTATACATATAGAATGCCGTAGGATCTTGAAGGATGTTACCGGGAATCGATTATCTTTTATACACCTTAGATTACTGTACAATTGATTGATGTCTCATATGATGGTGCCCATAGAAAACAATTAACCGATTTAGATCGTCAGGGACAATATTGCAAAAAAATATACTTTTATAACAATGTCTCAAAAGCCTAATTCTGCTAAGCTGAAAATAATTCAATCTTCTCTGATTTCGGTCATATTAGCTGTTTTTTATTGTTTCATGTTCATAAAGAGTCCCAAAAAAATTCTAACAAAATCTAAAACCTAAAAATAAGTGATCTGAATATTTATATCCTAGTGTTTTTCTAGTCACTGATTACAAATTTGGTATCAGAATTACGTTTCCAAAAAAGCAGAACCAGCTTACTGGGTCCAGTATCAAATTCGTAATGAAACTGTACCGAAACAAATTGGCCTTTCTCAAAAACTGAACTCAACTTAAGGATCATGCTTTCCAAAAATATCGTTTTTGAGGTATTAAAAGAAAGCAATATTGCTTTGGGGCTAGCCTGTTCATGGCTATCTGAATGTAATAATTGTATTGTATCTGTTACCGGTAATCTGTATAATTCAGGTATTCTATACAATACCTAGGCAAAATATAGAATACCTGGGTTGTCCAGGCAATGTATAAAATATTATTAATATTATTATCCATTTCAAACTTTACCTAGGAAATGAATACAATTCCTAGAGATTGTATAGAGTACCTGCTGTTCCACGGGCAATGTGTAAAATAAATAGATCTTGGTCTCAATTTAACAATGTTAACCGATATACCTAGAAAATGACGGGCAAATGAAACAAGTCATATTATTTAAAATCAACTTTATTGTTTTGTTGTTTAATTAACACTTAAAGTGCTCCTTAAAAATAAGCTTTATGAAAAGAGTACAGAAAACCACCTCTTTGTTACTACAGTAAAAATAACAGTAAAATTAACGTGGAACTAAAACTTATTTTGGCTATAAGTAACATAATAATTAGTAGTACGTACGTACGTAATACGTATAAAAAACTTAAGAAACAAAACAATTCTGTAAAAATATAGGCAGTGTAGGTCTACTGCTTAGACAAAATTTTATTAGAATAAAAAAAATATTCTTACATGTACTTAAGAAACAAAACAATCCTCTGAAAATAAGTAAGGTTTACTGCATAGTCAAAATTTTAATTAAGTACATACGAGAAATTATGAGGAACTATTGTGAGATTTTGAAGTGTACAAAATCTTCGTTGTTCTCATCTTTTACATACATTACTGGCTGCGCATTCGGTATTGTATAGAATACCTAGGCAAAGTATAAAACAAATAATATTTCATGCCTTACTTACACCTTTTGGGTATTCTATACATTACCTAGGTATTGTATAGAATACCGGATTATTCAGAATGCCGGTAACATCCATCCCGTCATGTGAGACTCCAACTGTATAATATTCTGTTGACATTT